AACACGTAAAGAGAAAGTAACAAACTAATTTAAACTAGACTAGGGTACCGGTCCGTTATCGCTATTCAAAGATTTATTTCTATTCTTATAGACGTATAAACCTTCATAACTATCTAGCAGACTTGGTTCCTTAACTTCCTTAATAAGTTTAAGGTTGTCAAATTCTATTCTATGACCATCATCAAGTATATGTTGGGCAATACTCGTTTTCTCTGCTACTAAATCTAGCATTGGCCAAGTGCTAGATTTTGTAGCACAGAGAAAACGAGCGGATGTTGAGCAACATTCGGTTTCTCTGTACTACCAAATCTAGCATGGGCCAAGTGCTAGATTTGATAGGACAGAGAAATCGAGTGTTGCCCAACACATACTTGATGATGGTCATAGAATAGGATTTGGCAACCTTAAACTTACGCCTACTAGATAGTTATAAAAGTTTATACATCTATAAGAATAGAAATAAATGTTTAAATATCGATAACGGACCGGTACCCAACTAGAGTTTGTTAGTTTCTCTTTACGTGTTCACTGAAGCGATTACGGTCCAGGGTTTAGTAAACTATAATAATTAGTATAAATTTGGTAGATTTAGCATTTAGATTTAGTTACACTTCGCTTCTGAAGATGCCAACATTGTTGGTGAAAAGTACTTTAAGTGTTTCGGTAACATATCACCAAGGAACAAGATTTGAACTGACAAAAAAAATCTAGTTCCATCTCCAACTTAAAGAATCTAATAAAAATTTTACTTACGACCCCTAACAAAAACGAACTGAAAGAATATATCTTTAAATAAAGAATTAGTTCCATATCCAACTTAAACAAGGTTTGCCATAACAAAAAGAATCTAAGAAAGTTTTGATTTACGACCCCTAACAAAAAAAAGAACTGATCTTTAAAAAAGAATAAGTTCCATATTTAACTTTAAAAAAAACTAATGACAATTTGACTTACAACCCCTAACAAAAACGAACTAAAAGAACTGATCTTTAAATAAAGAACCTCCAACTTAAACAAGATTTTCCCTAAAAAAAAGGAATCTAAAAAGTTTTGAATTACGACCCCTAACAAAAAAAAAGAAACAGAACTGATCTTTAAAAAAAGAATAAGTTTCATATCCAACTTAAACAAGATTTGCCCTAAAAAAAAAGAATCTAAAAAGTTTTGATTTACGACCCCTAACAAAAAAAAGAAACAGAACTGATATCTTTAAAAAAAGAATAAGTTTCATATCCAACTTAAAGAAACTAATGACAATTTGACTTACGACCCTTAACAAAAAACGAACAAGATTGCCCTAACAAAAAGAATCTAAAAAAGTTTTGACTTACGACCCCTAACAAAAAAAAAAAGAAAAAGAAGTGATCTTTAAAAAAAGAATAAGTTTCATATCCAACTTAAAGAATGAAGAATTATTTCCATCTCCAACTTTGACAAGATTTGCCCTAACAAAAAGAATCTACGAACCCTATAAAAAAAAAACTAATCTTTAAAAAAGAATAAGATCCATATCCAACTTAAAGAAACCAATGACAATTTGACTTACGACGCCTAACAAAAACAAACTAAAAGAACTTATCTTTAAATAAAGAATCTCAAACTTAAACAAGATTTGCCCTAACAAAAATAATAATAAAAAGTTTTGATTTACGACCCCTAACAAAAAAAAAAAAGAACTGATCTTTAAAAAAGAATAAGTTTCATAACCATATCCCAATAAACACAATTTGACCTGATAAAAAAAATTTAAAATAAATTTTGAAGCAAGACCCCTTAACAAAAAAGAACTAATCTTAAGTAAAGAATAAGTTTCATTTCCAACTTAACCAACTTAAACAAGATTTGACCTGACGAAAAGAATCACAAAATTTTGACCTACGACCCCTAACAAAAACGAACTAAGAGAACTGATCTTTAAATAAAGAATTAGTTCCATCTCCAACTTAAACAATATTTGATCCGACGAAAAGATATTTAAAGAAATTTCGATAATAAAAACTTTTAGTCAAAAAAATTAAAAATAATTAATAAGGTATACTTCCCAAATTCCTTGATGAGTTCTGGTTGAATCGTATTATCCTTATATGGTTGTCTTATTTCTTATTATCCATGGGTTAATGCTATGACATGTTGAACCTAGAAAAAAATACAATTAGACGATTTAAGGGCTGCAACTTTTATGTTTTTATTTTTTTAAATATTAAAAAAATCGTATTAATATTTGAGATAATAGATGCGTTAGAATTCTAATAATGTAGGTACGTAGCAATTTGTAGATGTAGATCAAATTAATAAATGAGCATGTATGTCGTATCAAAGCCAAATTACAACTAAATGGTTGATTACGTTGTAGGGATTATAATTATTTTTAACAGCAAAAACAAAAAAAGGGTGAGTCAGACTTGCGCGATACACATATTACGTCAAGGGTGACAAATTTTAATTTTAGATATATTTTTATTTATTATTTTATTAATACTCAAATAATCTAATTTCGATTATACAGTTTCCCAAAAATTACGCACCATTTTGAGTTATTAGGGTTTAAATATTTAATTTTATTTGTGTTATTTTCTAAAGACGTTTTGAAAATAAAAACTTAAATAAGAAACCTTTTTATAGGTACTTATTGGTTGAAAATATTTAACACAAAAATTATAGATATATACAGTGTGACCCATTTGTTTGCGACACCCCTGTAAAATCTTTATTTATTGTGCGATTTAAACCGGATTTGTTTTAAAGTGTAGATCTTGATAAACTGCTATTTTTGGAGCAAAAACCCCATATTTGTATAAAATACAAGGCCTACTATGTCAGTTTTTTAGAGTAAATTTTTAAATATTCATATTAGCGATTTAAAAAAAAAAAATCTAAGCACGGCACTGGATTCACCACCCCTCAAAACGACCCTATATTAAATTTTATTACAAAATTTTAAGTAGAAAAATGTACAATAATACTTAACTACAAAATTTTATTCTTTCAAGTTATCCATGAAAAAACATTAAAATAAAATTAAACTAATAGTAACATGGTACTATAACTTGCTTAGATTTTTTTTTTAAAATCTCTAATATGAATTTTTTGGAGTAAATTTTTAAGAATTCTTAAAAATTTACTCCAAAAAACTGACATAGTAGGCCTTGCATTTTGTACTAATAAGGCGTATTTTGCTCCAAAAATACAGTTTATCAAGATCTACACTTTAAGACAAATCCGGTTAAAATCGCACAAGAAATAAAGATTTTACAGGGGTGAGTCGCAAACAAATGGGTCACACTGTATATATATTGATTTTAAACAAAAAAAACTATTTAAACATTTTAAACAAAAAAACTATTTAAATTTTCTAAAGGTTAAAATCAAAAGCAATTTTATAAATAAAAGTAGAATAAGCAAGTTTGAAGAAATTTAGTTATAAAAACTTAAAAATTAGCGAATAAATACCCTAGGTACTTTTATTTTAGTCAAAAAATTTAAAAATAATAAATTGGTACTTGCCAAATTTATTGATGAGTCCTGGTTAAATCCCATTATCCTTATATATGGTTGTCTTATTTCTTAATATTCATTGGCTTAATAGCCATGGCTTTAACATGTTGGTCCTGGAAAAAAAAATAAAATTAGACCATTTAAGGACTGCAACTTTTATGCTTTTTATTTTTTTTAAATATCAAAAATATTCGTAGTATTATTTGACCTAATAGATGCGTTAGAATTCTAATAATACCTAGCAATTTGTTGATGTAGATAAAAGTAATAAATGAGCATGTTCTTCCCATCGAAGCCAAATTACAACTGACTGAAGGGTTGATTACGTTGCAGGGATTATAAATATTTCTTATTAACAAAAACAACCAAAAAAGAGGGTGAGTCAGACCTGCGCGATGAACATATTTTATTTCTTAATTATATAAGTACTTGTTATTTATTATTTTATTAAAAATCAAATAATGTAATTTTGATTATAGTTTCCAAAAATTACACACCATTTTAAGTTTTTAAATTGAATTTAATTTGTGTTATTTTTTTAAAGACGTTTTGAAAACAAAAACTTAAATATATTTAAGAAACCTTTTCATAGGTAGGTACTTATTGGTTGATATTTTTGTTGAACATTTTTAACACAAAAATTATAGATATATACAGTGTGACCCATTTGTTTGCGACACCCCTGTAAAATCTTTATTTATTGTGCGATTTTAACCGGATTTGTTTTAAAGTGTAGATCTTGATAAACTGCTATTTTTGGAGCAAAAACGCCATATTTGTATAAAATACAAGGCCTACTATGTCAGTTTTTTAGAGTAAATTTTTAAGAATTCATATTGGCGATTTTTTTAAACAAAATCTAAGCACGGCACTGAATTCTATGGAACGCCGTTGTATTTTTTAATCAGGAATTTTTGTTGCAACTCCAACTGCCAGTCATATTTTTAATTGTATCAATTATTTTAAACAATATTTATAACTCAACTAATTTTATACTCAAAAATAATGTGGAATTAAAAAAATATAAAAGTGACACTAAAATTAAAGTCAATTTTTAATTCAAAGTGATATTTGTAATTCACAGGAATTATCGATATCAAAGTGACCAGAAAATTCAAGTTAATTTTTAATTCAAACTGATATTCATAATTCGCATGAATTATAAATATCAACTTGAATTTTTAATTCAACTTATTTTCAACTAAAAAATGATGTAGAATTAAAATATTAAAGGGAAACTAAGAATTATTTGATATTTTTAAATGAAAGACATATTTTTAATTCCTACAGTTTGGACACCCCTGGTAATGTTGACGGTTCAAGTATATGGTAAAACAGAGCGCTCTAATGTCAAAGACTTACAGAAATCTAACCTCAATGTTGTCATAACCTAAAACTATATTTGCAGGATTTTTTGATTTACTAATAGGAAAACATGTAATTATAAGCAATAATTTAATAAATTACTATAAATTATGTTTTATATATTATATTTTAGCAACAACATGTTAAAAACTGCCTTGGTTTTTGTGAGTAAAAGAAAGTTATCATTCTCAAAAGTGAAATACTTATCACCCACAGCAAATCCGCAGCCCCAGGAAAAAATACAGAGTTTCAGGAGCGTCGAACATGATCCCTTAAAACACACATACAACCATGTAGGTCAATTCTACAATATATCCAAAGAGGATAGAAATCACCTATTTAACTACGGGGGTTTACCAAAAACTTACCTAACACAAGCAAAAACGTTCAACGAAACGTGCGTTATGATTAGACAACCCACAATAGACGTGATAGAATGCTTAAAAAATATCGATTATGCAAAGCCAGCAGTAAGATTTGTTATTTATGGGAAAAAAGGTAGCGGAAAATCGTTATCGATGGCACATATTTTGCATTATGCTAACAGGAGTAATTTCTTGGTTGTGCATGTTCCTTGGGTTGGCAACTGGATGCGTAGATGCCAGGAAGTGAGTAATTCTGATACTAAAGAAGGTTTTATTAATTTAAATGTCGATGCTGCCGCCTGGTTGTTGCATTTTAAGACGCAGAATTCTCACTTACTGGAGAAGGAAGATTTGAAAATTGCGCAGGATTATGTGTGGAGTAAAAGAGAGAAAACCGAAAAAGGATCTCCATTGTTAGACATCGTTAATCATGGTATTAACAGAATTAAGTTTGCCTCAGATTGTGTTGTTATTATAGCAGATGAAATAAAAAAACTTTCAAATAGTGGGGTTTGCAAAACGTTGGTCGCTATTGACGGGTTTAACGCGTTTTTCTACCCTAATACAAGAGTTTTTACAGAGAAAAAGGAAAAAGTACATCCTCACAAAGTTGTAATTACCGAAGCGTTCTTGAACTTAACCAAAAACGACTGGAAAAATTCTGCAGTTATTGTAACAGTAGATGAAATTGCTGTAGCAGAGGAAGACCAAATTTCCCATATGCCAAGGTAAATTTTAGAAGTCCAAATAAATAAATTGTTTTAATGTAGTATCTCCATTTAAAGAGTTTCCAGAGAATGTCTTCAAAATGTAATGTACATACCTATATGATTTACAAAATTATATATATTACATTTTGAAGACACATTCACAAATACTTTTAGATTTCTTTACAGCACAGATTCCAAGAAAATAGTTTTTAAAGTTACATTTGTTTTAATAGGCCACAGTGTATTTTGTATCTCACCAGCTTGCTCATTAAATTTCCATAAAAAGAAAAACTAAATAATCAATTTGAATTTGGAAAAGAATTTTTATAATATTCTATGGGAAATAACACTTCTACACAAGTGTTATTTTCCATAGATTCTATCAAAAACTCGTTTTTAAACTCCAAAGCAACAATGATTGGTTAAAAATTCATTATTACAGTATAATTTTTATGGAAATATCAAAAAACAATTTTTTAGCAACTTTTAAAATTGTCATTTCAAATTTCGTGCTGCCAACTTAAGAAACATAAAAATATGACAGTTTTAAACCTTAATTTAGCCATTATAACAACAAATTAACAATTCATATTGTTACCTATTTACTTTTTATATTGTTTTTACTTTTAATAAAACTTTAATTTGTAATAAAGCATTAATTTGTTAATTAAAATACAACGTTTTATTTTTACTACATTGGCACCGCTGAATTTGCTATCACGGCCTACTGTTATTATTTTTCGAACTCTTAAAAAGGAGATTATTTTTTTATATCTTAAAATTATACTGTTTACTAAATTACAATATTTTGATTTTTTAGGTATTTACTTGGAAAAGAGGGGTTTGAACACTTGGACCCTTTTGTACCAATCCCAATGGAAAATTACAACCAAAAAGAGTTTAAAAGTGTGATGGATTATTACAGAGATAGAAGATGGATAACTCCATATCCAGGACAAGATGAGGAAGTCTCAGCTTTAAGTGCAAACAACCCTTATAATTTAATAAAAGTTTGTGCCCCCTTGTAAATAAATAAATAGTGCATTAATAAAACAATTTTATTTATTCAAAACATTTTTTACAAACTCAACAATTGTAGGAACTTCAGCCATAGCTCCAGCCCCTGTATCACCGCAAATCAAAGTTTTTTCAATAACAGGAATCTCCAAATAACCCCATGACTTTAAATTATTTATTTTTATTGACATTAAGGGGTGTAAATACATTTTGGTGTTCATTGCAGGGCTTACTAACATCCCATGCCCTTGCAGTACAAGTCAACAAATTATCACACAAACCCTAAAAAATAAGCATTATTTAATGAGTTATAAATCCACTTTTATTCGATCTTACGCTTGATATTTTTCCCAATGTATTAGCATATGTATGACAGAATGAATTATTTCCTCATCGGCGAAATAAACACTGGTGGCGACATCTCTGTGTTTAATATCTAACAAATATTAGACAAATCCAACCTAACTTTCTCTCAATTAAATTATTTTTCTGTGGTATTTTTTGGAAACGTAGAAAAAGTATAGTCTGAAACACGTTTGAAATTGCATATTCCGCTCTCGTGAAACCGTCAGAATATACTATTCTAGCAGGTACCTATATATACCTATTATAATAGGTAATAAAAAACAGCAAAGTTGGACTAAAAGGAAAAATCAGTAAAATCCGGTTTAAAATTGGTCGCAATATAACAATAGCAATATAATTATAAGGCATTTTTGATTAAAAAAAAAGAAAAAAGTTAAGTGTTTTATTTTGATTAAATGATAGTTACTTAAGTAATTCCATTAAAACAATGAAAAAAAACTAAAAAATGCTACTTGAAACTATGAAAGCTATCATAAATGCGATAACAAGTTTAGTATAAAAAGGTCCTAAATTAATAATTTTCATTCGCAAAAATGATGTCTTTTAAAGTCTTGTTTGTTCTTAGCGCTTTTGTAGCCATAATTTCGGCCAAATCATTGACAAATTTGGCTGACGATGGAGCGCATAGTATAAAAGTTTGTGACTCTACTAATGCGTAAGTATTCTTTAAGTTTTTTTATTTTGTTTTTAATGTTTATTGTTTTAGTAATACTTTGGTTTATCAAACCTCAGTGGTTGTTGAGGGCAAGTTCCTCGCCCATGTTGAAAAACATGTGGCTTGGCCTTCAGTGTCAATTAACAAAGAGGACATAACTTGCGTTATGGTAAATTAGTTTTTTTGTATACCTACGTATTTTTATTATTTTAAATAAATATATTTAGGCAATTGATCAAGACACCAACGGGCATGGAGGTTATGCTTACATTGTTTCTGGGGGCCTTTATGAGAAAGAGGTGGAAATTAGATTGACTTCACAGTTGGGCAAAGGATTGAACTACATGGTCAGCATTTACACTAAATAATAAAAATGAAATAAAGAAAATGCAGCATTAAAGGTTGTTTTATTTTTAAATATCAATTGTCCAAAATCTAAAATTATTTTTTGTCATATAGGTACATAGGTATACTTTTCAAAGTGCTATATGATATATCAGTATCAAACAGAATTCAGTCAAAAAGTTAATTTTATTTATTTATTATTATATTAAGGCCACAAATTAAAATAAAATTATTTATATACTTTAACTGGGAGAATTTAAAAAACATAGGTACTGTAATGGTTCCGAAAAGAAACACCCTGTATAGATTTATTAGAAAACATGTTATTATAATTTTATTTTTCGAATTTTAAAATAGGATTAAGCTATAAAACTTTATTTGAAGGCAAAGAAATTTTACAGATTTAGGTAGAAAATTTGCCAAACAAACAAGAAAGGTACGCGCTAAGCTGAAGGAAGAGTACATCTGGCATGCAGATTGGGAGAGGAATTTCCTTAGAGGTAAACGAAAAAGTTTTTCGAAAAAGGGAGATGCGGCAGAAGCAGTTTGAATTCGATGCAGTACAGTTCGTTTTCTTTGGTAAAATTGTAAAAGTAAATTATTGTTCTAAAATCATTGTTAAAAGTGTTATTAGTGTATTCTACAAGGTTAGTTCTAATTATTTAGTCTATTTAAATGTGTAGTAAAATTAACTAAACGTAATATTGTGCATTTTCAAATTGTTAAGCTTATTATTATATAATTATTGCTATTATGAGTATATTTACCCTTGTCTATTACGTTTAGCTGTATTTTACGTTATTTTAATCCTTTTCTTTTAGCTATTACCACCCCTATTCTCGCTTTTATTATTATCACTGTAATTTTAATGCTTTGCTATGTTCAATGCTTGTGCCGCTTCAATGTAACCTTGTATTTTGTTTGTGCTTAACCCACCATTTTGTACCCTTTTTCTATAACGTGGTTAAGCATTGTTTTATGATCAGTCCAAAGTTATTAATGTATTGCGAAATTACTCGGTGCTTAACCAGGAGTGCTGACCGTTATTGTTCCAACTTTGAGTACTCCTTGTTTGTGTGCGTGGGCCTTTGTTGTATGGACTAATATTTTTCTCCCGTGAGGGGACAAGGTTGCCCTAGGTTCTCTAGGGTTGCTTCGCTTTTCCCCGACCCTTCAACTAAACTAGGCGGGTTGCCTCCCATATTGGGACCTCGTTACATTCTGGGCCTAGCCCGGCTAACTAACCCCAATATTCTTCAGTTTTAAATCTTTGTTTAAATGCAGTATCGAGCCATATCGCCAATACATTAATTTGCGTAATTTTTAAAGTACAATGCCTGACCGCGTATTCCTTTGCTACTTCATAGCCGACCAGGGTTTTTTCTCAGGCTCTTTTTCCCTGGCCGAACCCTCCTAAGAGCCACCCCTTGCTTGTTTGTAAAAGTTAACGTAAATTAAATTGGGGTAAATTAAGCCACTGTATTTTATTTCTTATAAACCTATTTCTCCCACGTATCATTCTTAAAGCAATGCATCTAATAAAACAAGTAAGTAAACACAGCGTAGAGGTCCAAATTTGGGTAAGACGATCACGAGCCAAAGCCACAAAATATTTAATTTATCAATTTTTCATAAAACTTGTTTTAATCGAACCTGGGGTAAAGAGAAATCTTTACAGTACCTAATAAAAATACCTTAATTAAGTTAATAAAAAAAATATTGATGTTTAATGAGGCAAAGAGGCTTAAAATTATAAAAAAGCAACATATCAAACATTAAACACAAACATTTTAAACAAAAAATTTTTCACCAAATGTTTTTTTACAAAAATTTAATTCATTTTCTAGGGCTATAAATTATTTTTTTTATGGTCTTGAATGAAAAAAAAAATTTTAAATGAGGAATAAATTTTACAAAAACATTGACCTCAAAAACGAATTTTTTTTTCATTAAATATTATTATTAAAAATTATTTTGAGATGAAAAACCTTTTTACAAAGAGTCGGAACAACTTTTCAAAAAAAAACAAATATAAACAAAAATAAAATTAAGAAAAAAACATATTTTTACAAACAAAATTTATTGAAGTAGGACTTATAAATTTATACCTATAGGTATAAATTTATAAGTCAGTATACTGACATAAATAAGAAACAAATTCACATATTCATTGTATTAACATGAAAAACACAATTGTTATAAATAGTTAACTGTAATTAATAGTTAATTGTTACTCTTGGATTCTGAAATTTGATTATTATAATAATAATAATATTTATTCGTGTTTTAAATTATAAAATTTAAAATTTATTGAAGTAGGTAGATATAAATTTATAAGTCAGTATACTGACATAAATAAGAAACAAATTCACATATTCATTGTATCTTCTAAGCATTGTATTAACATGAAAAACACAATTGTTATAAATACTTAGTTGTTACTCTTGGATTCTGAAATTTGATTATTATAATAATAATAATATAATATTATTAATATTTATTCGTGTTTTAAATTATAAAATTTTTAAATATTCCTATTCTAAATGACCGATAGAATCCAATAAAAAATAAATAATTGGTTTTAAATGTGTTTTGGCGCTATGAATCACCAATTCATTCCAGTTGCATTCCTATATATTGGTAAGTTCCATGGAATTGCAATGAAGTCAGCGGCTTAAATTGGAATTTACCATACCATGCTTATGCTTGTCTCTATTGGCTAAATCCAATAGAAAATTTCTATTAGAAATGCACCTGGAATGAATTGGTCCAAAACACATTTCAAACCAATTCAAACCAATTTTTTTTAAATTTGGATTAAAAATACCAATTGATTGACGAAAGCAACAAAAATCTAAGAAGGAGCCAGCATTTTGTTATGCTTATTACAACAAAATAAAACTTTCAATATCTTCAATGTTCAATATTTATTGTTCAATATTCAATATGTAATTTAATTTTAATATTTAATGTTTAAAATAAAAATCAATGTTCAATTTTAAATTATATGCTATTCAATAAAATGAAAAAAAAACGTAAAAATTTTCTAAAAACTGAATTTTGGTCTTCCACTGAAAAATTCATAACTTCGCCATTTATCCATGGATATTTATCAACAGCAGCTTATTTTAAAATGCAAACTCTACTTATCTTTTCGATTTCTATCTTTCCCAGAAAGATATGTAAATTTTCGACCTCGATTTTTGCAAAACAAAAGGACTTTTTCAACTTCATAAATTCGCCAGTATGGCATACAATCCTTTAATTATCTACTTATTGGAGTAGATAAAGTATAGTAATACACTCGAGATTATGCGCATCATTCACTCGGATGATTTGAGTCTCTCGTCTGACGAGTCGAATAATAGCCATCAAACTAAGTGACCTTTTCAATACACATTGATAAGTTGTGGCTTTATGGTGTTTTAGTCATGGGCTGAAGTTATTTTTAAGTTAGTTGACAGTTGTCAAATGTCATACAATCGTTAAAATAAAGTGCCCTTCTTGTAAAATATTACCAAATGTAAAAATTATTTTATTATCTCAATACAAAAATAATAAAGCATTAAGTATTAAATATTTTCTCAACGCCAAAATTTATATGAACATTGTACTGACCTTTTAATATCGGGCTCCGCACTGTGAAATACATTTCGATTTATAACACATAAAAATTTGACATTTGACGGTAACACAGATTCCCCTATTGTTTTATCTATCTATCTATATAGATGTCACTTTTTACCAATATTTAATTTAAATCATTTTTAGAAAATAATAGGTAATAAAAAATAGCTGGACTATAAAAGGAAAAATCAGTAAAATTTGGTTAAAAATTGGTCGCAATATAAAGTTATAGTTCTATATTATTATAACTATTGCGACCAATTTTTAACCGAATTTTACTGATTTTTCCTTTTATATACACTATTGGACAAAAGTAAAGCAACAACTGTATAAAAAATCTAACCCCAAAACGCCTTTATTAATCTTTAAGAAATTCTGGATAAAAATACTTGAACTTAAATCTCAGTTTACGTGTTTGAGGGTTTTTAAAAAAATATTTTTAAAGCCCATTTTTTTAATATTAAAAAAACCTTCGAAAAATAATTTTTACGGATTTTTTTTTTCAAGTAAATAAAAAATATACTGTTAAATACCGTATTTTTGTTAGTATACCCTGAAAATTTTGTACAAATCAAATGAACAGTAACGAAGATACAGCGATTCAAAGTCGTCAAAAATGACCACTTTTCAGCAAAATAATCAAAAAAGGGTCATTTTTACCGACTTTAAAGCGCTGTATCTTCGTTACTGTTCATTTGATTTGTACAAAATTTTTAGAGTATACTAACAAAAATACGGTCATTAACAGAATATTTTTTATTTACTTGAAAAAAAATTTCCGTAAAATTTATTTTTCGAACGTTTTTTTAATATTAAAAAAATGGGCTTTAAAAATATTTTCTCAAAAAACCCTTAAACACGTAAACTGAGATTTAAGTTCAAGTATTTTTATCCAAAATTTCTTAAAGAATAATAAAGGCGTTTTGGAGTTGGATTTTTTATACAGTTGTTGCTTTACTTTTGTCCAATATATATGGCAATATAATTATAAGGAAATTTTTGATAAAAAAAAAAGAAAAAAGTTAAGTGTTTTATTTTGATTAAATGATAGTTATTACTTAAGTAATTCCAGTAAAACAATAAAAAAAACTAAAAAATGCTACTTGAAACTATGGAAGCTATCATAAATGCGATAACAAGTTTAGTATAAAAAGGTCCCAAATTAATAATTTTCATTCGCAACAATGATGTCGTTTAAAGTTTTGTTGGTTCTTAGCGCTGTTGTGGCCATAATCATTGACAAATTTGGCTGACGATGGAGCGCATAGTATAAAAGTTTGTGACTCTGTTCGTGCGTAAGTATACCTATTCTTTAAGTATTTTTTATTTTTTTTAATGTTTATTATTTTAGTCATACTTTGGTTTATCAAACCTCAGTGGTTGTCGAGGGCAAGTTCCTCGCCCATGTTGAACAACATGTGGCTTGGCCTACAGTATCAATCAACACCGAGGACATAACTTGCGTTATGGTAAATTAGTTTTTTTGTATACTTACATATTTTTATTATTTTAAATAAATATATTTAGGCAATTGATCAAGACACCAACGGGCATGGAGGTTATGCTTCCATTGTTTCTGGAGGCCTTTATGAGAAAGAGGTTGAAATTAGATTGACTTCACAGTTGGGCAAAGGATTGAACTACATGGTCAGCATTTACACCAATTAATAAAAATGAAATAAAGAAAATGCAGCAATAAAAGTTGTTTTATTTTATTTATTTTTATTTTTCAAAGTGCCTAAGTATTTGGTTTTTTCTTTTATGAAGAATTATTTTATAAGGAAATATTTTGTTTTTTTAAATTTTATTTTATGTTAAAAATTAATTAATTTCTAAACCAATTTTTTATTTCTGAATGAACATTTTTATGTATAATAATCCTAACTATCTTCAACTTCAATCTTATCTGACTTATTCCACAAATTTTCCAATTTTACTTTTTATGAAATAATGTCATACAACTTATGGTTTAGAGGTCAAATTGTTTATTTAATATTTTTAAATAAATATATATTAATATGTCGCAAATTTTTTTAAGGGGACGACAAATACATTTCACTGTCATATTATGACAGTGAGGCGTATTTGTCGCCTCCTGAAGAATTTTACGAATGTAGAAACCAACATATTAGAACGAAGGTATCTGACATATTTGGAAATATTCCGAAAAGCTTCCTAGAAGCTCCATAAGAAACCTTCTATGAACATTCCAAAAACGTATTCTTAAAATGTTCTTAGAATGCTTTTTAGGAAGGTTTTAAGAAGCTTCTAAGAATCTAATTGCATCATTAAAAGGGTATCTATTGAATGTTTTAAAAGTCCCTAAGAACATTCTTAGCAATAAGGGAAGGTTCTAAGAATATTCCATTATTCCGGGTCATACTCGTATCTTCTTAGAAGATTCTTAGAATCAAATTTTGCTATCAGGGAAATAGTTTCTCCACGCCAAAATTTAAAAAGTTTTAAAGGTTGCCATGAATCTTAGATCTATTAAAAATTTATTTGACGTTTGAATTGTCATTTTCAGTATAAGTATTCTATAATTTTTGTTTAGTTTTTTAAAGTGTTTTTTATAAACAAAAATGAAAAATTGTAGTAAAAGTTACGAAGAAATTCATGAAATTTAACCAAGGACCGGTTTATTCATCTTTAGTAAAGTTTATCGGGTCGATAACTTTCATGTCTTGGCAATATCTAGTATCCAAAGAAATTATTCGTCAAATAAATCAAAAATGAATAAATCGGCCCTAAATAAAATGTGGCACCCTTAGAATTATTGTTTAATAAATGTATACTATACATTTAACCTTAAATTAAAACTTTAAACGTGTATTACAACAAAACAGTAAAAGATATAAAAATTGTATAGACCTTTTTTTAGGAAATTAACTAATCTTTAATCTGATTTAAAAAGTTATGATAATATTTAAATAAAATCGCAAGTTTTAATTGGAGAATTGAAAGAGTGCATAATATTTTTAATAAACAGCCAATTAAAACAATTCAAACCGTCAAATTTTTTTTATTTTGCTCTTAAAATTTTAGTTATGACCTAATTAACAAGAATATAAAAAAAATAGGTTTCACAGAAAGTCCAAAAATCACCTCTCAGAACAGCACCGTGTATAATTATAAGGAAATTTTTGATAAAAAAAAAGAAAAAAGTTAAGTGTTTTATTTTGATTAAATGATAGTAAAACAATAAAAAAAACTAAAAAATGCTACTTGAAACTATGGAAGCTAAGTATCATAAATGCGATAACAAGTTTAGTATAAAAAGGTCCTAAATTAATAATTTTTACTTGCAACAATGATGTCGTTTAAAGTTTTGTTGGTTCTTAGCGCTTTTGTAGCCATAATTTCGGCCAAATCATTGACAAATTTGGCTGACGATGGAGCGCATAGTATAAAAGTTTGTGACTCTGTTCGTGCGTAAGTATACCTATTCTTTAAGTTTTTTTTATTTTTTTTAATGTTTATTATTTTAGTACTAAATTGGTTTATCAAACCTCAGTGGTTGTTGAGGGCAAGTTCCTCGCCCATGTTGAACAACATGTGGCTTGGCCTACAGTATCAATCAACACCGAGGACATAACTTGCGTTATGGTAAATTAGTTTTTTTGTATACTTACATATTTTTATTATTTTAAATAAATATATTTAGGCTATTGATCAAGACACCAACGGGCATGGAGGTTATGCTTCCATTGTTTCTGGAGGCCTTTATGAGAAAGAGGTTGAAATTAGATTGACTTCACAGTTGGGCAAAGGATTGAACTACATGGTCAGCATTTACACCAATTAATAAAAATGAAATAAAGAAAATGCAGCAATAAAAGTTGTTTTATTTTATTTATTTTTATTTTTCAAAGTGCCTAAGTACTTGGTTTTTTCTTTTATGAAGAATTATTTTATAAGGAAATATTTTGTTTTTTTAAATTTTATTTTATGTTAAAAATTAATTAATTTCTAAACCAATTTTTTATTTCTGAATGAACATTTTTATGTATAATAATCCTAACTATCTTCAACTTCAATCTTATCTGACTTATTCCACAAATTTTCCAATTTTACTTTTTATGAAATAATGTCATACAACTTATGGTTTAGAGGTCAAATTGTTTATTTAATATTTTTAAATAAATATATATTAATATGTCGCAAATTTTTTTAAGGGGACGACAAATACATTTCACTGTCATATTATGACAGTGAGGCGTATTTGTCGCCTCCTGAAGAATTTTACGAATGTAGAAACCAACATATTAGAACGAAGGTATCTGACATATTTGGAAATATTCCGAAAAGCTTCCTAGAAGCTCCATAAGAAACCTTCTTAGAACATTCCAAAAACGTATTCTTAAAATGTTCTTAGAATGCTTTTTAGGAAAGTTTTAAGAAGCTTCTAAGAATCTAATTGCATCATTAAAAGGGTATCTATTGAATGTTTTAAAAGTCCCTAAGAACATTCTTAGCAATAAGGGAAGGTTCTAAGAATATTCCATTATTCCGGGTCATATCTTCTTAGAAGATTCTTAGAATCAAATTTTGCTATCAGGGAAATAGTTTCTCCACGCCAAAATTTAAAAAGTTTATATGAACATTGTTCTGACCTTTTAATATCGGGCTCGGATTCCACCGTAAAGTGCCCATAAAACATTTTCTTCATTTTCACTGTGAAAAATTTCTTAATGTTAATCCATTTTCAAGGAATACATTTCGATTTATAACACATAAAAATTTGACATTTGATGGTAACACATATTCCTCTATTGTTTTATAGATGTCACTCTATAACAATATTTAATTTAAATCATATTACCTAACCTATTTTTATCCGAATTTTACTGATTTTTTCTTTTCTAGTCCAGCTTTGCTATTTTTTATTACCTATTACTAATAGGTAATAAAAAATAGCAAAGCTGGACTATAAAAGGAAAAATCAGTAAAATTCGGTTAAAAATTGCTCGCAATATAACTATGGCAATATACACGGTGCTGTTCTGAGAGGTGATTTTTGGACTTTCTGTGAAACCTAATTTTTTTTTATATTCTTGTTAATAAGGTCATAACTAAAATTTTAAGAGCAAAATAAACAAAATTGACGGTTTGAATTGTTTTAATTGGCTGTTTATTAAAAATATTATGCACTTTTTCAATTATCCAATTAAAACTAGTGATTTAATTTAAATATTTAATATTTGCATAACTAAAAAAAAGGTTTTTAAAATTTTTTTTATATATTTTACTGTTTTGTTGCAATAAACGTTCAAACTTTTAATCTAACCTTTGACGTAAGTATACATTTATGTTCCCTTAATTAATATATCCTTAAAGGTTGCCATGAAACTTAGATCTATTAAAAATTTATTTGACGTTTGAATTGTCATTTTCAGTATAAGTATTCTATAATTTTTGTTTAGTTTTTTAAAGTGTTTTTTATAAACAAAAATGAAAAATTGTAGTAAAAGTTACGAAGAAATTCATGAAATTTAACTAAGGACCGGTTTATTCATCTTTAGTAAAGTTTATCGGGCCGATAACTTTCATGTCTTGGCAATATCTAGTAGGTATCCAAAGAAATTATTCGTCAAATAAATCAAAAATGAATAAATCGGCCCTAAATAAAATGTGGCACCCTTAGAATTATTGTTTAATAAATGTATACTATACATTTAACCTTAAATTAAAACTTTAAACGTGTATTACAACAAAACAGTAAAAGATATAAAAAATTTAGACCTTTTTTTAGGAAATTAACTAATCTTTAATCTAATTTAAAAAGTTATGATAATATTTAAATAAAATCGCAAGTTTTAATTGGAGAATTGAAAGTGTGCATACATATTTTTGATAAACATCCAATTAAAACAAAATTAACCGTCAAATTTTTTTTATTTTGCTCTTAAAATTTTAGTTATGACCTAATTAACAAGAATATAAAAAAATAGGTTTCACAGAAAGTCCAAAAATCACCTCTCAGAACAGCACCGTGTATAATTATAAGGAAATTTTTGATAAAAAAAAAGAAAAAAGTTAAGTGTTTTATTTTGATTAAATGATAGTTATTACTTAAGTAATTCCAGTAAAACAATAAAAAAAACCTAAAAATTGCTACTTGAAACTATGGAAGCTATCATAAATGCGATAACAAGTTTAGTATAAAAAGGTCCTAAATTAATAATTTTTACTTGCAACAATGATGTCGTTTAAAGTTTTGTTGGTTCTTAGCGCTGTTGTGGCCATAATTTCGGCCAAATCATTGACAAATTTGGCTGACGATGGAGCGCATAGTATAAAAGTTTGTGACTCTACTAATGCGTAAGTATTCTTTAAGTTTTTTTATTTTGTTTTTAATGTTTATTGTTTTAGTAATACTTTGGTTTATCAAACCTCAGTGGTTGTTGAGGGCAAGTTCCTCGCCCATGTTGAAAAACATGTGGCTTGGCCTTCAGTGTCAATTAACAAAGAGGACATAACTTGCGTTATGGTAAATAGTTTTTTTGTATACCTACATATTTTTATTATTTTAAATAAATATATTTAGGCAATTGATCAAGACACCAACGGGCATGGAGGTTATGCTTCCATTGTTTCTGGAGGCCTTTATGAGAAAGAGGTGGAAATTAGATTGACTTCACAATTGGGCAAAGGATTGAACTACATGA